GGGGGGGGGTGGGGGGGGGAGAAGGGGGCAGATACAGTGTGTGTATGCAGGCAGGGTGTGTGTTTTCATAGGCCGAGTCTGTAACACACACACCACCATGCACCCACATCCCCTTGCACTGCCATACATGCAAACCCTCACAAGCCCCATACTCACCCATACCCCACATATCCACACACATACTCCCTCACCTCACATGCCCACAACTCCACAGCCCCCCACAAACCTATACCCACCTCCCACAATATACAAGAGTAAGATTTCATTTTAAGCTATGGTACACTATGTAAACATGGGTAAATCGGGACAAAATTAAATTTTTGAAATAAGATTAATGAATGCTGTAAATATTTGCTTTTTAGAATATAATGTGGTATTTTTTTGGTTCTGAGATGGCAAAACCCCTTGCTAAAAGGAGTACTTCTGGGGGCAAGGGGAGAGACTGGTGGCAAAGGTCATGGGTTAGGGGGTGGGACTTCTAGTCACAAGATGGTGACCAGGGGTGGGGCTACCCATGCAGTCCTCAGCAGCTTGCCAAAACTGGGTAAGCAGCCCTCCACCTGAAATTATTGCCTGCCCCTGCCATAGGTCTATAAAACATGGAAGGTATACAACAGAATATTCTGGATGGAGGATGTGTTGGAAAAGTTTTCCCTCCTGAATAGTTGTAAGATGAAACCAACCTGCATCTGTATTTTTTCCCAGTCAGCTTCACACATTAATGGAGCAAATTTTTCTTCCAACTGTTGAAGTACGTTTCGACTTGTAGCTACAGAAGAATCAATTTCAGAAAAAAACTCATCAATGTTTGTGTCATAAGAACTCAGTAACCGACTGCTGATCTCCTGGAACTGAACAAAGAGAAGAATGCAGCTGGGAGAGTGGGGTTGTGTTTAGCAGCCACTGGAGCAGAATTCTCAGAATTAGTCATAAATTACTCACAAGTAAGGAATATATTCTTAAATATGGTTGCAGTGTCCAAATACGGATTTACAAATATCTGCCTTCTCCATAACCAGTGCCCAAAGCTGTAACATACACACAAACTCAGATCCTGTTGTCCTTCTTTAGTCATCCACCTCCAACTGGCTGGAGTGGGGATTGATTGCCAGGTTTCTTGCCCATTTTAAACTGGGCTTTTCAAAGAATTCTTGTTCTCCCCCTTGGACTCTACAGGAGCTCTGTTTTTGGGAGCAGTCCTGTATGTCAGACCAATCACCTGTTTTGCAATCGGGAAGAATTAGCAAGAGCTGGTGAGTTCAAAGAAGACTTTAACATTTAATGGGAAGAAAGGCAAGTCTGCGCCCAACCTTTTTAGACTCAAGGCACCTGCTGTTAGATTCAAGGCACCCACTGGAAAATGCCAGCTCTTAGTTTATGACTCATTTATGACTACAGAAAAATACCTTAGCAATTCTTCATGACAACGGGTCAGAAAGTTTATAACTATGAATTCCTGTTTGAAATCTCTGAACTTTTCTTATGAATCATGTTTGCACACCTAACAGTGCTAACATTGTGTGACAACCTCAGAAGGGTTGCAAGGCACCCTGGTTGAGAATAATGAGTATAGAGCATGTGAGAAAACTAGGCCGAGGGGGGTGGGGAGAGCAACCAGCTAAGATGACTGGCTGATATTGTGACCAGGAGATAGTTTATTCCCCCAATCCCAGCATGGGTACAGCTGACCCTAAGCAGTC